GTTCAAAAGAAGCTTCTTCTCATCTGGTTTTTTCAGCATTCTGTCAATGCAATTTTAAGAGCTCAAACGGATCAGCTTTTCCAACAGTCCACTGTGACTTCATTAAGTTGCAATTAAATTCTTAAGCGTAAAACAATTCAGAAATAAAGTAGTATAATCGAAGAAATAAAATTCTTCTTCCACTCGTTCAGACAAATAGTTAAAATTTAAAAAAAATGCTTATATTTATTCTACAACAGTAACTTTAATGAAAATTTGTAAAAGTGTGTTTACAAGTTTTGAAGCCAAACATTTGTGATAAGTAAAGAATTAAAGTTAGTTCCGTGTTTGACATTAACTGATCTTAGTTGTTCATTTGTAAAGAAATATGAAAAATAAATACCACTGTTTTGCCGTATCGCAATATGGCAAATACTGACGTAAACTAGGAAAGTTTTGCAAAACAAAAACAAGTCGGCCTTAATCTATAGGCTAAACAGTAACTTAAATGACAAGAAACCATTTAATCATTCAATCAAAAACAGAAAAAAATAATGCTGACATTTGATAGAGGCTTTAGCGTATTATATGTTTATTTGTATCTGTGTGTAAATGTTTCAACTTCAGTAAATACACTTCTGAATCTCAATTATTACAGCAAATGTAAACGACATTTTTTGGTTCAGATGTTCAATTTTCTTAATCCATATAATCTTCATAAATGTTTATACTGATAATAATCTTGGTTATTCTAATTTTTGGACAAATACCAGAAAAAGAAAAATCCTCATAAGCAGACTATAAAATAAACTTGATTAAGTTTTAGGCATATTTCTTAGAACAATTAATGCATCGCAAAAACAGTGTGGTGATTTTGCAAAACTACTGGAATATAACCCAAATCTACGTCAACCATATCTATGCAAAGCTATGCAAGATACAGGTTAAATGATGCGATTTTTACTGTTTGGCCATACCAATAAACAACTTTAATTCTGTTGGAAGCAAAAGAACAATGGAATCCAACAATTTATTTCAGAAGAAGGATTGCGAAGTTTTTATATGTTGTGCATTACAGTATGCAGGTGTACCCAAGTCGATTAATTCACTGACCGAAAATCTATAAATGATACTATTATAGCTGATAAACTGTCAATGGCTCCATCATATACAATCAGTACAGATCGGATGATCGCAACTTGCAGAAATACACAGTTATCGGTTGAATGCCGAATGCAAGAATTGTATGCAAAATTCGAAGTTTGTAAAAATTCCGAACATGATACCGGTAACTGTCGACGATTCTACAAAATGTTTCGACGTGTAAAACTGCTAAACTGGGGTAAAATAGATGACTTTTTACGCTGCTATAATCCACCAGCACTTCTGTTCGAGAGCAAAATCAGGAAACGCGATACTGGAAAATGCAGAAACGTTCAAAATATCTTTGCTGACAGTCGGCTTAATCGAAATGTCTTCTCAAATATCATTGATAGACAAGGTTTGCGAAATTTACTTCAGTAATATCGCTATCCAAGAAAGTAGTTAAAAATCTTAAATTTCTTTTCAAAATTTTGCAGTCCAAAAGATCACTGGCGTGAAACTAAACTAATTTCCTCCTATTTCACATAGCTTTAATCCTTTCAGTATTGTCTCGTAAAAGCTTAAAAACGATTGCTGACAACTTATAAAGTTTTTGCTCCAAACCCAGAACTTCATTTGAAATAGAGCCTTTCTTTCTTTAAAGCAAAGCAGGAAGAATATGGAAGAACAGTTTGGGTAAAGTGCGTTAATCAAAAATTATGAGAAACTTTATAGAGCCTTTAAAATTACTTCGTACGCAGAGATCAGCATCTTCAATTCGGAAAAAAAAACCAAAGAGAAAGCCACACTGAAAACTGATCGAAAAAACTACACCTAATTTCCCAGCCTATTCGTGTTAGGAGAAAACGAATAAAAGTTAATAAAAGAAAAGAGACAAACTTTATATGTTCATTTTATAGACCCAGTTACAAGAAATGTCAGTGATATAGTCTCTTTAAGGTTCTCTACATCAATGGTATCAAAGGTTGCAAAAATTCTCAATCACTACTGTCCTTCAAATTTTTTGCAGCTCATAAATGTCGACTTATCAACTGCCCCGAACGGATAGCAAGAGAATTGGAAACACTGGCACTTTCAACTCATGTCATTGACTGGCAACGGAAACTGAACCCGTTAACAAAAGCCAAGTCGATTTATGCAGTGCTGATGTCATGCAGTTCCGATCTTAACTGTGCAAAGGCCTTACAATGTATAAAACATAGGAAACTATGCCGCTGGGGTAATGTCCACGAATTTTTAAACTGTTTTGAATATGAGACAGCAACACTGCCCCACTAGTTATCGTATTGTAAAAACTGTTACCTCGATATCCTAACAGAAAAATACCAGATTTTCCTCAAAAAAAAAAAAAAAAAAAAA